GCTAAATTGTTTATTTCCAGGTACAATTACATCTGACTGTCCAACTTCGGTTGGAGAGGGGAATTAAAAGGAGATAACTGATAACTGACATCCATGAGACATGGCACGGGGAACTAGAACAGTCTACCCCAGTGAGCGAAATAAAGGGTCCAGTTCAACATTCCAACCACCTGAAGAAGTCTGGAGCGTACAACGGCCGAAACGTTGTAATAAATATGGCGACAAAGATGAGGACAATAGTCCGAATAATGTAAATCGTGTAAGAGGCTAGATGTGTATGTTAATTATGAAACAATGTCCCTTCTTTCTCCTTGAGTCCTGTTCTTTTGTTTGTCTCTCTCTTTCTCTCTCTCTCCTCAAATCGTTCTCATTTTCTTTCACTTTCAGTAACACCTTGCATCTTTATCTCTTTGCTATGGGCGAAGTGATTACAAAAACGAAATAAAATATATAAACTGTAATTACGATTTTAGGTAATAATGTCGGCATGATACCGAGGCTTCGTTTTTTCTTATTCGTTGCCTATCTTTTTCTCTAAATACATTTATAGCTATTTTTCGTATGATTTCTTCTATTCTTTTTTTTAATTTAAACACAGCACTAGAATGACGTCGAGATATCAATTGAGAGTAATGCTGAGTTGATGAAACCGTAATTTCTATGCTAACCGTTTCCTCTCTCGCACTTCTCGCTTCTGGATCTCCATTCCAGTCCCATGCTTTCCATCCAAAATTAATCATCAAATTGTAAATCCTTGTGATTAGGGGCATCACTGACTTGCTTGGGGTAATGTGGATTAAAATTGTCAGTTGAAAGTCTTTTTGTTTCAGGCAATAATATAATATGTAATAACATTTTCAAATCGAGTACAATCTAAAGGAATGACACAATGCTTCTTCATTGTATTCTTCTTCATTTTATGTAAAGATCAAATGAATGAGAATAAATTATATCATAATAAAATCTCTTTACAAAACGATTTTTTAAGCAGTCCTTCAAGCAAGAGTTCTTTCAGTGAGGAATAATGCAAAAGTGCAAAACAACTAAAGTAATTCAAACAATTTACACCAGAAAATAAACCAAATAAAAATATTATCAATTAAAGAAAAATAACGAGAAGGAAGATAAAATAAACAGTGTTTGGAAGGTGAAGACCGGATGTTAGTTATACATTTTGTATTACGTTCTTGAATTTAAAGAAAAGATTTTGCAGCTATTTGTAAAGAGAATTGACTAAAACATTTTTTCTGGTGGAATGATCTTATAATCACAGTTCTAGAAAATATGTTTCCTAGACAAATTCAGGTCATGGATGATTTTGGAGTAACTGAGTGCTAAAGAAGTTATCATCTAAAATGTTTCTTAGATTAAATTTAAGCAGAGCGCATATGCCTTGACGATTAATTTTAAGCGTGGATCACTATTGACCCCAATGTACACTCTGTATATATTGTATTTTTTATTTGGTCTTTAGCATTGTGTTACATCTGGATTAAAATAATCTTGGAAATTGATATATATATATATATATATATATATATATATATATATATATTTATATATTTATTTATATTTATATATATATATATATATATATATATAAACAGGTTCTTTTTTATACCACACCAAGTCAACATTGATTTAAATATAAGGATCAGATTTCATTTATTGTTAAAATAGGATACAAAAGTATCTCGTTTAAGAAAAAGTATAAGGAGATTTAGCAAATCTTTTGATTACATTTTTCAGGAAGATTGTTTGTGGTATAAAATGAAGAGGTTGATAAGAAAAATTATTATTAACAACTTATGTTAGGTCAACAGATTACCAAGATGCAATATGAGGGGGGAAATTATAAAAAAAAATTAAAAGTTCCTTTTTTTAATTTTTTCCTATTTCCTTATCACATCTTGCAATCTGTTGTTTTTAACATCGGTAATTAATAAGACTTTTTCTTATCATCTTCTTTGTTTTATACAGCCGACGATTCTCTTAAATGTCCCCCTTTTATCTTAAACGAGATACTTTTGTATCTATTTTAAGAATAAAATGGGAAATATGATCCTGGTATTTAAAATCAATATATATATATATATATATATATATATATATATATATGAATCCATTAATATCTATCCATCTATCTATCTATCTTATCTCTCTCTCTTCTCGCTATATATATATATATATATATATATATATATATATATATATATATATATATATATATATTAAAACAAAAAGAATCATTTTACGGGAAACAAAAAACGAAAAGTCTTTTCATTTTTTGTTTCAACTTTTGCAAGTAAAGTCTGATAATCTGCAGTCCTTTTAAAAGGGCTGTGATGAAATAATTTACTACATGGAACCTTAAAGTGGTCTGTTTTTATTTAAATCATTTGCTCTGGATTTACATTGAGCTCTCTGGATTTTATCCTCGTTGGGTTTACCCATGATTACCTAGTTTATCATAAACTAACTAACTAATTGGTCAACTATATATATATATATATATATATATATATACTAAGAGTAAAAGTCATCGTCTACAAAAATTCTTAGATGAAATTTTTGTCGAAATAACCGAAGTGGTAATATTTGAAAACAGTTTCGAGTAGCGCAAATAGTTTGTGAGCGATACATGGTGAACTAGAGCGGCATTTCAATTGATGCAAATATCATTGTTATTTAAAACGACGAGAGAAAGGCAATGACTCAAATACATGCGGTCATCGGACATCCATGATTGCTTCGAAATAATCTGGGTATAAACATGAAGACATTATATAAAAGTTTTATAAAATCTCATATGCAGTTTACAAAAACTTTCGAATATAGTTTGTGTTTTTTTTTTTAAATCATTTCTAATATTAGATTCATTAATTTACAGAGACATTAAATTTTAATTTAAAAAGAAATAATGGGTAATTTAAAAGTAAATATGATCTCTACTCAAAGCATTTCATTATACTTGCATTATATCTTAGAATCACTCATTATTAAGAATTACCGATTACGTATATATATATATATATATGAACGTTTTATTTTTAATGTACTGTATACGTGTGCAGGATTATGTGCATTTGCGGCAACAAAATCTACTTTCAGATATGAATATTTCATGTTTTTCGAAGAATGTACCCATTAATCTGATGAGGCAAATTTCTCGATTACCATTTGAATCGTTCTCCTATAATTAAGACTGAAATTCAAAAGTCCTTTATACGCTTAATGTCTTCCATTATCTTATTTTCAAGATTTTCAAACTTCCCCATGTTCTCTCCAATAATACAGCATAATGCATCGGTATACGATTAAAACCTGATTAGCGTTTATTTATTCATTGATAATTTAGTGTATTGTTGCGAAAAGTAATTTATAGGCGGTAGCCTGAAGATGAATCAGTCGTCTATTACATTTGTTTGGTAAACAATGGCGCTTTTAAATCAAGTGCTAGAGTACATATTTGAATTTGTACTTGCTTGGCGTCCCAGTAGCTTAAACTTGGGATGTAGCCGATATGTAGAGGTTTATAATATTAGTCACATTGAGCCTCGGTTTTCCGTGAAGCTGGTATGAATAATAATTTCTAGCTTAGAAAAAAGTAAGTTTATATATTATTTGATAACATAGCAATGCAACAAACATCAGGGTTGAATTCAATGTGTAAATGGAGAAAATATTCCACTGAAGAAATTAGTTTTCACAAGAAAATAAATTCAAATAACCGTTAATATCTATCTATCTATCTATCTATCTATATATACATATATATATATATATATATATATATATATATATATATATATACATATATATACTTATACTTAAAAAAATCAGAGGTTACTTGAATTCAAGCATTTGGTTTCAAAAATAAAATATCTACATGTTATTTTACTTTTTATTTTTTTAAACGTTTATATATATATATATATATATATATATATATACTGAAGTTCATATATCAATTCTTTATGCATATTCATCTATCATTCATCTATCTATCTATATATATATATATATATAAGTTAAAAAATGTTTGTATACAACTAAATTGGAACCTAGTACCATAAAATATTAACTTGTAGTGGTTTGAACGGCCACAGCTTAATACGTACATTTTTTTTATTTTACAAATGTGTCAGCAAACAAAAAGCAAAGAAAGGAAACAGCACAAAAACTGTTTTTATAGTAACAAACAATCTTCATTTTACTGTGTGACAATTCTTAAAGCCTTTTAAGAGAAAATATTTTATCTGAACTCTCAGAGAAAAGAACTCAGTTCAAGAAATAATGGTAACTATCAATGGAAAGAATGTTTTTCCATAAGAATGTGTTGTAGCCTCTAATTCGGTGTAAGATGAGTTCAAAGAAACTTGTTGATTGAGAGAAAATGTAATTTTCACTTGAATATCAAAAATTTAAATTAACTTGCCGCTTAAATTGTTCACCGAAGGGAGATTAATATGAATAAGGGAATTCTGGGAAGGTGTTATTATACTGAATCGTAGCGTATAGCTCCAGAAGATTTTGAAGTAATATTTCTCACTGGTGAAAATTTGGCAAAATTTGAAAAAAGTTAAATTCTTAATTGACGTGGCGGCAACGTTTACTATTGAGCTTCAAAGGATCACATTTGTAAGAGTCGAAAGTTCTATTCTCTCGAACGGCATGTCTATTTCTGAAGAAAATCTCACTGTTAGAAGTTGAATACATTTCTGTGTAAGGAGTGAATGTGATGAGTTCGGAGATGTTCAGTATCGATATGTACGCGTATGCGCGTGTCTGTGTGCGTATGTCATAGCGTCTTCCATGAGTGACAGACATGGGCTCATCACTGACTACATTGTTGTGGTTCTGAGAAAAACAGAGGAAAACGAAAAAGTCGAAGATATCGCCAAGTATTTATAATGTTGCATGTCACATGATAGGCTCGAAACACATAGACAGAATTTTGGCGGTAAATTAATTTTAACCGTGCGTACGTAGTAGAAAACATGATATTAGCATTAACTGACCAATCAGGAGACAGAGAAATATCAAGTCTTTTTGATCCCCTTCTTTTACAAATTTTGTCTATCGCAATTATGTTACGTTGGAAATGTAATCAATCTTTTTTAACCAATGGAATTAGATCACAAAGAAAATATTATTAATTGAAATAGAACAAAAAAACACCTAATTCTTGTCTTTTTTCTCCTTAATACCTTTTACTCATTTTCTTTCGCTATCAGTTACACCTTCGTGTCTTCGTTCAATTATCAACTTGCATGGAATGATACAGGTAAAAATATCTATCTATCTATCTATCTATCTATCTATCTATCTATCTATCTATCTATGGGTGTGTGTGTGCGTGTCTGTGTAAAAATGTATAATCATATATATATATATATATATATATATATATATATATATATATATATATATATACAGCTATAATATAAGTGATAGAGTTATATATAAGTTGATTGATGTTAAGTTTGGATCCTGGGTTTCACGTTGTTTGCGATCGTCAGACAAACTGATAAATTTGATTTATTTATGGTTGTGTATATCGCTGTTTTATGGTACTACCATAAAGCACCGATACACGCAACCATAAATAAATCCAAATTTATCAGTTTGTTTAACGATCTCTAAGAACGTGAAACCCAGGATCACAAACTTATCATCAATCCAATTATATATATATATATATATATATATATATATATATATATATATATATATATATATATATATATATAATTCGCATATATTTATTATCTTATAAGTATAAATACTAATATAAGGTTGCGACTGTTAGGCTACTTAGGAAAATAATCAGACAAATGGATGGACATTTTCATAAAAAATTGTCTATGTATCTCATATATAATTTTGGTTTCCAACGAAATAGATAAACACGAATGCAAATAATAGATAATACTTATTTAACATTTTAACATGTACTAAATCGAATTCTTTGTCGATTTGTACCGATACAGTCAATGTAGCGGCTATCGGCGGGGAAAACCTAACCGGTGTGTTTATTTCAGTTTCAAAATATACTCATTTTTTACTTCTTACAAATATCCTGGGAAAGGGCATAAATCTGTCTCCCAGAAGCTATTGATCATATAGCAACTCTTCGTATTCTTTTTAAACACCCAATCAAGGGGAAGTATATCTCTAAATTAAAACAATCTTCAATTATACAATAGGCTGGTTCATTTGGTTTAGGAAGACAACCAGTCAAGTTGTAGGATCTTAAACATGACTCTTTCGCCTTAGTAAGGCAACATGTCTTGGAGAATATAAATTCTGCATTAACTGCCAGACTGAAGTGAAATGGGGTGCATCAGTCTTGCTAAGGACGCATATAATGCTTTTACGGCTGCTGTAAATGTGATACCCATACAATCTAGTTTGGATACAGTATTATTAATCATGATATATATTAACATTTTTGTGTTTGACGCCTCACTCATCCAGACATATAATTTAACAAACAATTATTAACTTATCACGACCTGCTTATTGTGCCAGGTTTTTTTCCTCGTGTCATGTTAAGCCAGTCTTTAGAGACATCATCAAATTTGAAGAAAATTTAAGAAGATTTATTTAAAAGGCAACGGAATTTATCGTGTGCTCAATCGTCCTCGATGTGCAATAACTCTAGTATTGTGCGTAATTACACTTAGTGAATAACTATTATACACATGCGAAATAAACGAGGATTTTGCAAGCCCACCAGTCAATAGCGACTGAAGTATGATTCAACTTCATGGTTGAGACTCTGGCCTTTTTTTTGCCTGGCTTCGCAAAACTTATCATAAACTTCTGGATCAGTTTAAACAAATATACTTCAAATACCTAGGATTAGGGTTGAGTTATAAGATATTTATTATATAAGATCAGTAATCTTAATATACTATTTATCATTCTTCCCAAACAAAAGTTACTCTCTAGCGAAAACCTTCATATAACCTCATCAGAGATTTGTACATGAATAACATGTTTTAATAACAGTGTATTCATTCCATATTTACGCACCACAGAAAAAAAAAGTTTTAGAACCACTAGAAGTAAATTTAACACTTTACCATTTAGCTTTACTTTTTACAGTTAACGAATTTTCGAGGTAGAAATCTGACTTTTTCTCTGCTTTTCATCATTCCAGGGTGTACTCTGTCCTCATCATGTGAAAAATGTCGGTAACAACTGCTTCCTCTTCATTTCAGTTTTGCTTGTTATTCCTATTTTCGTTAAATATTGCTTCTTAGACAAATGTTGGAACTTGATTTCCTCGGTATCCAACAGTAGAACCACATTTCTAGTCGCAAGTCACTTCTTCATCTGTACAAATAGTCTTCAGAATTCACTACAACATCAAGGAGTAGATATTCAAACGTTGAGTAATGGTTTGTTCGTCTCTAACGAAATTTCTTCCGAATATAAGTATTACAGACAGCTCAAATGGAAATGTCGCTAGTAACTTACTAGTTAACAGCTACTTCAGTACGCTCCAAACTCCTAACGACGTCAACCTTGTTACCTTGGAGCAGAAGAAGCTAAGTTTACTAAATACCCATTAGCATAATTTTGGCGGACGGTAGATGCATGTGAATGTTGATCACTTCTCCCATGAGTCCGATCTATTTTCGATTTATGCAGCAATTTCCAGTTCAATTAAATTAATCTATCTATCTATCTACATGTGTTTGGTCATTATCTGTCTATCAGTATCGTTATATCTCTCTATCTATATATCTATCTCTCTATCATTGGTCATCTCAGTATTTTCAGACCTGTCTGTCCTTCTGTCTATCTATCTATCATCTATCTCACTTTAGTCACTACAGTATTTTCACATCTATCTATCTATCTATCTATCTATCTATTCTATCTATCTATCTATCGTTGGTCATCGAGTATTTTAAAATCTATGTTCTATCTACCTTTGGTTATCTCAATATTTTCAGATGTATCTATATGTATCAATCTTTGGTCATCTCAGCATTTTAAATCTAACCTTTGTCATCTAATATTTTTAAATCTATCTATCTATCTATCTATCTATCTATCTATCTATCTATCTATCTAGTCCAGTCAATTAATATCTCTCATTTCCCTTTAGTTCATACACACACACTGAATCGTATGTATAATCATATTGGAAGTAGGCAAATGTAAATGACATTTCCTGTTAGTTTTATCCGATTTTCTCAAATTATTTTTTATTATTATTAATGCATTAAAAGTTATCATTTACGGCTCGGATCTGTCGAAACGTATAGGTCGATTTACATTCTGAGACTAAGAAAACAGTGTAGATCGGAAATAGCGAGGTTACATTCAATTATGATGACATAGGCTTTGGCGCCTCTCCAGTTCTTCGCATTAGTCAGGGAAAATCTACAAGTGAAATTTATAGAGTATTTTTATTGCTTGCATTTACTCTCAACGTTTTTTTTTCTTTATATATATATATATATATATATATATATATATATATATATATATATATATATATATATATAATGGGTAATAGCCAATGAAATAATCTTTTCATTTTGGCAGATGCGCCACTGTGCATCAAATTTACGTTTTTTTCTTTCCAGTTTACATTTCATCCGAATGCTGCAGCATATCCTAAAGACATTATATTGATATTTTGATAACGTTATCTGTACAGAAAGTAAAATATTGTGTATTAACCATGGAAAGTCAGATAGAAAAATATTATTAAGAAAATGGAGAAAACAAACAAAAATATTTTCAAGTTAATTCCGAATTAAAAATCTTCAAGCTGCTTTAATTATGTAATTCTTAAATGATAAATTGTAATTCAAAGAAGATTGGATGTGAAAAATCTCTACTTAAAAATCAACATGAAAAACCGCCTTCAGATCATGGAGATATCCCGTCAATCGAGTTGCTATGATAAATGAAACAAGCCATAAAAGGTACGTGCCTAAAATTATTAATAAAGTATTCGAGAGCAATGATCCATATGCCGTGGTATTAACTGTAGTTGAAGGCACAAATGAGATCAATTGGTAGTTTACCTTTAGCGATTGCCTTGAGACAAGCAATTGATCACAGTAATAGAGAAACAGTGAAAGGAATCGAAGATCAGTTATGCCTGGATTATTGGCCTGGTGTGATTTATGGATTGCGCGAGTTATATTTGAACTCAATATATTTACGAGGAGTTTGAATAACATACAAGATGTCTCCGCATTCAGATATTGGCTAATGATGATATTATGCAATGTACATATCATCGTCGAGTTTATATGTCTTATTTATCGTTATATGTTCAACATACAAATGACTGCAATATTTATTTTCTGTCTCCAGCTCTCTCTATCTCTCTCTTCGTATATATATATATATATATATATATTATGAAATGGACAAAGTCCGACAATTATTTTAAGACATTTTTATGTTTATACATTCTTTTCATAGATACAAATATTTAAGTGAATGCTCTGTTTATAATTAATTTATTTATATTAAACTGAAAATAGAAAATATTCGTCCTTTGACAGGATTCGAAACTGCATCCTATACGGAACCATCATTTACGCTGACGTGCCTTGACCGCTCGGCCACAAAGGATCGTTCGGTTGACAAGGTTGAATTTACTGGTTATGAACTTCAATCTTCCATGAATCTCGTACATTCATTCCTGCTCATGGCGTATCAAATGTAAACAAATGACGTCACACATTATGAAATGGACAAAGTCTGACAATTATTTTAAGACATTTTATGTTTATACATTCTTTTTATAGATACAAATATTTAAGTAAATGCTCTATTTATAATAAACAGTATTATTTACCGTAAATGTTGTTTAATACTGTTTATTATAAACAGAGCATTTACTTAAATATTTGTATCTATAAAAAGAATGTATAAACATAAAAATGTCTTAAAATATATATATATATATATATATATGGGTGGTGCACGCACGCGTGTGTGTGTGTGTGTGTGTGTGTGCGTGTTGTTGTGTGATGGCTACGGCTCGATTTCGGACAATATCAGCGCTTAACCCAACCTCAGATAAGTGTAAAACATAAGTGGCATTTTTTTCCTGTTTTACGTTAAAATAATCATGCAGAAAGTTTTTCGAATATGACAACGAAAATATATGTGCCTATATATATATATATATATATATATATATATATATATATATATGAATGAAGAAATATAGTCTTAAGTTGTGCTATATCTATGGGATAAAGAGCTCAATATCAGAGATAGAGCGTGTGTAAATATAAAAGTGAACATAGAAATCAACACTTAGAGGCGACAGGTTGTTTCATGCTAGACGCAATCGTCAGACCTGGTTTTTTCCCATCTTTGCAATTTCGTTTGAGGATGATACGAGACATCTCCGAACAATTTTCTTTCCATTCTCTCGGAAATTAACCATTTTTGACAGTCCTAATTTTTTTCTCAACACTCAAGTGATTGTCGCAGTACTTTTAGGTAATGCTACGAATTATCGGTATTGGAACATTTAAATGCTTGGAAAGTGTGGCATATCCATCATCTTGTTTTTACGCCTCAAATGTCTTCATTCGGAGCTTCTTGTCAAGTTCAGCCGTCTACCCTATGGCTGAATGACGAATGTGTTATCGCAGTACGTGGCACTCACATATTATTTTCCTTACTGATTAGAGGCTGAAGGAATTAAGTCGATACAATTTCGTTTTCAAAGGGTGTTTCCACTAAATGTCATATTAAGAAATAATATCATTACAATTTCCATAGAGAAATATCATTTCATAATTTCCATAAAGGGGAGAGGCGAATAATTTTGAACTAGACCAGCTTTCAGAAAAAATATTTTAACTATGAATATAATATATCGAAACTGACGAATTATTCAAAACTAAATAAAGTACGAAATATTTATGTTGAATTCAGCAAGTACATTCAAATATTCGCATTTCTTGAGAAAATATGCAAATATTCAGTGGGACCCTCCGCCATTAATTCTGTCTACGACTGTATATTCATATATATGTAAGCAAATATATGGATATAGATCCGACCGTATGAAGAAAAATATACAGAAAAAACAAACAAAAATCTTAATATGCAATTATGCTATATTAATGTTAATATAAAGTCAACGTCGGACATCAGGACATATTCATTAAACATTATATGTTCTAATGTTAATTATGTTTAATTAATATGTCCTGATGATGGTCTAAAATAGACCGAAACGTCCGACGTTGATTTTATATTAACATTAATACAGCATAATTGCATATTAAGATTTTGTTTGTTTTTCTGTATATTTTCTTCATATATATATATATATATATATATATATATATATATATTATGAAGAACATGGAAGAACATGGTAATCCGTATGGGTAATCTGAGAGCTCAATGTAAATCCAGAGCTAATATTTAAAAGAAAACCAGACCACTTTAAGATACCATTATAATAATTTATTTCACCAGAGCCGGATCATAAACGAAAAATGAAATGAAAATTGATGGGTAGTGTACGTTTTTATAATTTAACAGAGAGTGTAAAAGTCGTAGTTAAAGAGACATGGTAGAGTATAGGAGGGATTAATTTCATATCTCTCTCAAGCATACTTTGTATTGGGGGAGGAGGAGTGACCAGACCTTGATCTATTTAGACGGTTAACTTAACGGAAGTGATATATTGAAATGGGAGGGGAGGAGGGTGAGAGGAAAAGGAAAAAGAAAGAAGAGGGCTCTGGTAAAATAAATTATTATTATACTACCATAAATTAGTCTGTTTTTCTTTTAATATATTATATATATATATATATATATATATATATATATATATATATATATATATATATATATATATATATATATTTATATATATATATATATATATATATATATATATATATATATATATATATATATAATTCCCAGGTGGACAAGACAGATTGGTATCAAATGACAATTGGAAAAATCATACATTTTGCCGACGCGTTTCGTCTTCCGACTTTTTCAAGGCAAAATGAAATCGAAATGTTTTTGCTGTTATAGTTACATTAAAATTCAAAATTAAAAAGGTAGACGCTTGTGTCTAAGCCTTTTTTCTGGTTAATGTAAATTACGTTTATAGTAAGGGATTATTTTTTTTTTCCCCATGTCGACAATATAGTTAAATTCCCAGATGAATTCTGTGGACAAGACAGATTGGTATCTTTATAATTTTGAATTTTAATGTAACTATAACAGCAAAAACATTTCGATTTCATTTTTGCCTTGAAAAAGTCGGAAGACGAAACGCGTCGGCAAAATGTATAATTTTTCCAATTGTCATTTGATACCATATATATATATATATATATATATATATATATATATATATATATATATATATAGTTTTAAGATAATAGTGCTCAATAGCTGAAATAGATCGTGTAGATGAAAAGTAGAAAAACAATTGTCACTGAGGTTAAAAACCGTTTCGTAAAAGTCTTTTAATGCTTGAAGGTGTTCTTGAGGACTATTTTATATATCTCGCCATATATATATATATATATATATATATATATATATATATATATATATATATATATATATAATATAAATAATATATATAATATATATATTTAATGTGGCTCTACATAATTATAACATGTGTATATATATTATATCATATATATAATATATATATATATATATATATATATATATATATATATATATATATATATATATATATGTATGTATATATATATGGTATATAAAATATGTGTATATATAGACATTATATATAAATACATATATATGAAAAAATTCTCATTGTTAACCTATAGAAAATGAAAATATTCATAAATGTAAAAAACAATAGTAACTAATAATAACAAAAACAAAATGTCCTTAGCAACTGGAAGAATTTAGGGAACGCTATTTTCATACTGTTGACTGAAAAACGGTCTTTAACAGTACTTGACGTAATTTCCAGTATGAAAATAGCTTTCTTTAAATTCTTCCAATTATAAGGACATTTTGTTTTGGTATTATTTGTTACTATGTTTAATAATTTAATTTCGCTTTTGCCCTGAA